CCCCACCGACCCACACTGTGTTCCCGGTTCGCCACAGGCAACAATCTGCATCCAGGAGGGCCAAGCAAGAACACCACTGGCCACTCCCTGCTTCCTCTTCCACTCTTCCAAATCAGCTGGTATCAAGGCTGGAGGAGACGGATCGCTTCCTACGCAGTGTGTGGCTTTGATCAATGCAAGGCTGCTCTTTGCACCATATTTTCCTAGTGCTCAGCTAAGTAGGCTGACTGTGGTTGAGGCTTTGGGATTCCTCTGGAGAGAGGGTTTTTTTTCCATGGAACAAGCTTGTTTTCTCATACGGTGCCTTCCTTGAATTCCACCCGGCAGCGAGGCCCAAATTCTCCTTTCATTTACACTGGTGCAATCCCACAGAAAGAAGTATGGTTGTACTGGTAGAGGCCAGCGCAGAATTTGGTTCCTAGCTTTTGTATATGGATTAAGCCTGTTGCCCTTGCTCTCCCTCCCCCCCACCACACCCCTCTGCTCTTAACCCCACCCTACCATCCCCTTTATTTTGGGAAAAACTGACTAAGTAAGATGTTCCTGTTTCTCTAAGTCCTTACCTGGCCTCTGTCAGTACAGCACCAGAGCACATCAGCATCATTAACGTACATATCCAGGCAACACTCACTCCAAATTAACTCCATTTTACAGATATGGAAACTGAGGCTTAGCAACAAAAAGGGACTGGACTGCGATCACAGTAGAGGACAATGGTGAAAGGGAGAGCTGATCCCTCATCACCTTGATCCCAGCTCAGTGCCTTAACCACAATATGCTTCTTTTGCTCCTACATCCCTTCAGGTCAGCATTTTTCCCCATTGCTTATGTCCCATATAAAAGCTGGAATGCTTTGAAGCTCCAGCTTGCTAGTCCTCTCCATTCATTAAAGCATCTCCTATGTGGATTTTGCAGGGTTGGCCTAGATGCAGGGATGCCTTCCAGGCCAATGCTCCAGCAATCAAGTTAAGAACAAGCTCTTCCAACTGTTTTTAGGGATTCTTCCTTCTTTTCAACTTGTTCCAGTTGTACATACTGTCCTGGACACATGCCTGGAGTAAGCACTGATTGCTGCTTCAGAGCTGACATCTTTGCACATAAATGAACCAAGATATTCACACACACACACACACACACACTAGGAGACAGCAGCAGAATCACTAAAAATAACTGTAAATTGTACAGGCACCATGGCCAACTCAAAAAGCTACAGTCACTCCAAAGACATTTCCTGCAGAAGGCTCTCAAGCTGAAGCACAGTCTGGGGATGACTGATGTGCTCCAAAGCATGTGGAAAGCCAGTGTTCAGACAAGGGTTTTCCCTTGTGCATGCAGCTGGTGAAAGTGAGATTCTGGCACTTCAGAAAAGCATGCTCCCGGGCAGTTGGGAATTCGGGAAGCGCTTGTGGCAGGACAGTGAAGGCTCGAAGGGAAAGGGTTGGACTACAAAAAGCACCACAAAGTTATAACGATGGCCCTTCTGTACTCTTCACCCCTGCCACTGTTAGCATGGATGAAGTGGACCTCTGGGGTGTAACCCTGGAGAGTTAAGGTAAACTACAGTTTTAAGAAAACCCTGCACATCTCACCTACTCATTAATAAAAGACCCTTTCCAGCTTTCCACAAGTCAAAACTGTGTAGGGATTTCAGGTTCAGCCCTGCACCCACCAAGCTCAACAGTAAAGCTCCCACTGAATTAATGCTCATTAGCAAAAGTGCACTAATGAATGCATAGACGTGCCCAGGGTAAAGAAAAGAAGGAACATTTTGGTGTCAGAATCCAGCCCTCCCCTGCACTACTGCATGATCTGAAAAATTCCCACTTTTACCACACTGCCAAAGTATCTTGTCTACTGGTAAAGGAAAGACACTAAGACAGTGACTCTACTATGTAGTGATCCACAGCCAAAGCAGAGACCAAGATCATCCAGGTGCCTATTGATTTGGGTGCTTCCACGTGTGGAAGTTTGAACTGAGACTCCTTACAAGGGCCTGAGTTTTCGGAGGGTGGGTGCTCAGCATTGCCAAGAACCAGGCCCCATTACAGGGTCTCAAGTTGGAAAAACAGGGGCACTAGTCACATTGGGGGATCTTGGCCCAGACTAGCTAATGAAACTAAAATGGAGCAGCAATTTCCCACAAGGACTCTGAGACCTTGTTCGGTCCTCCAGCATATGGATGTGACCATCACTGGCCTGGGTGGACCTCGGGGGAAAGCCTGCGCCTAACGGTTGGTGCAAAGTAGAAGAAGATGGAAAGACTCAAAGCCTGGGCCCGTTCTGACCAAAGAGGAGCTTAACTCATGCTGCCAGTCAGCTGGGCTAAATGCAGCTCTCACTACAAGCTCTAGTTCCCTCTCCTCTCTGCCACATCCTCTGTGGTAGCTACACTGGTTTTAATTAGCCAGTCTCCTCCGAGGTTGCATATTTGGCACTTGTAGCTCAGTAAATTGCATGTTATTAAATATTACTAGCATGTTGCAACCTCCTGTGGGCACAAGGCAGGCAACTAGATCCTGTGCCTCTACCAGAACACAGGGCTTTGTCTTTGGTCCTCATTCTTTGCCTGCTCTCACACGTGCACGCGCACTTGTCTCTCTTTCTTTTGCACACACGCCCCTCTTGCTGTCTGTGGCGTGCATCAATCACCATCTTTCTCTGTCTCGTTCTGCCCTAAAAAGTTTTGCCAGCACATCTGTGCTGGTTGGGAGTGTGATATTATTTTCTTTTCTTTCAACAGACTTTGCTGTGCTAGCAGAAAGCAGTTATACTGGAGGGGGAAAAAATCTTTGGCTGGTATAGGTTATGCAGTTGCTTTGCTGGCAACACTTTTATATGTAGATAGTCTCTCTCATGCACATTGTCTCTTATCCAAGTATTCCCTTTCCCTCACTCTCATACCCCTACAAACTCTTACCCCTTCTCTCTCATGTTACATGCAGACACAAGCCAGGTCTGCACAACAAATGGAGGCCAGCATAATTATATTGGTCACTGGTGTAATGCAGATTGATGTGTGATCTGTATGGCTGTGCTGGCTTCATTCCTTAGTGTAGACAGAGTTATGCACAAGTTTCATATTATAATTTGCATCCACATTAGGAACATTTTGGATAGTGTACCAGGTGAGACAGCTGTATCAGGAAAGGCTCCCAAGTGTAAACCTGACCTCAGCCGTCTCTTCCCCAACCCCTTTTTACCCTCTCTCTCACGTGCACTCACACACACAGATGGTTTTCTTCAGCCCCTCACTGCTGCCTTTCTGCATCATGTGCATTTCAAACCCCCATGTGTTTTAACCTCCTCCCCATGGCATGTCCTATGAGGAACTAACTCTCCCAACCTGCTTCCCAAAGAATAAAATGGACTCATTGCTGCTTTGCCTTCCACCCAATACAGTTAACCTGAGTCCTGAAAGCACACATCATCCTCTTTCTAACACAAAGTGACAGGAGCATTGTGGGATAAAACTGGGTCACTCCTGTAGTGGCACCCTGAAGCTTTCTTCAGTTTAAAACATTTGAATCGATTATGAGCTTCTGTGCTTAAAATATTGTAGGGCTGGCTCAGAACCAGGAGCACCTTTGTACTTTGCAAGGGTCATAAATACTCTGGCCCATGTGTCTGGTCTGGAGAAGACAGCAGGGTCTCTCTACGGAAGAGCTCTGGTACTGAGATTCAGTGTGGTTAGGGGATCAGCCTGTCCCTAGGCATTTCCTTCCATCTTATGGCAGCATTAATATAGTCTGCTTTATCCATCTGGGGTCCCTGCTTTGGAGTTGCATTTAAATGGACTCTCAAGCACAGTGCAAAGCTCCAGAGCACATTCTGCTTTGGAAACAGCCAGGTGACTCTTCAAGTCATTCTGCTGGCTGGGGAAGAGCTACATCCTGATGGGAAACCAGTGGGTCCTGGCCTTGCTCTCCCCATCTGGAATCCATGAGGGGCTCTGAAAGTGAGGGGCATCAGGGCTGGGGGTCCTTCAGGACCCCATCTGTTCCTGCCCTGGCCTCACAAGGTGCCTCCGGTACAATCACAAAAGAAGAATGATTCATCTGCACCACAGGACTATGCATGTTTGCTCTTTCGGTTTGGGGACGAATATTCTAACTCTTCCCCCTGACACTGGTTTTATGACCCTGACCCTCTGGCGGCTGCAAGTCCGCAGTGAAAGCTTTGAAATGTCAAGCAAGGATGAGAAATGTGCCCTGCCTTCTCCCCTCTGCTCCCTGACGTGCTGCTGGCTGCTCCAGACACCACAAAGGGCCGCAGCTGCCTTGAACCATTCTCAGACTGTGCATAGCTTTGGTGGCTGGAATGGGCAATGCACAGTGGATGCTTCATCGGATGCATCCTCCTATGGAAGCTAAGGAGCCTTACAACAAAGAGTGGGAAGAGCAAAGCTGTAGTACCCAATACCTGGAAAGGTGCTGAAAGCATCTTCTTCACATCACCGTACACAGCATTAAAGTCCTGTGTGTTTGGCTGAAGACATTAGGACAAGTCCTGCCCTCGGAGACCCACACCCAACCCCACTCACTAATATCATGCATATGGTCCTCTACAAGCCACGCAGCGACACCTCTAGTGGACCTCCATGGACCACAGCAGTCACGCAAGCCGATATAAATCCACAGATTGATGTACCCATGCAGCCCGCTGCACTGACTGATGCACACAGTACGTGACTGCTGGCCATAGTGCATATGCAGTAATCCCACTGACTAACGGAGGCAGAACTTGGCCTACTGGACATCTCCCAGGAAAGGAGAGAACCTCTTAGACGTGACAGCAACCCCTCCCAGAACCTCTCTCTCACGTCTGCTGCCAAGAAAGCAGAAAATGGGACCTTTTCAAGAAAGCTCTCCTAGACCCACTGTGGTGTCACTGCTGCCTGACCGAACACCAGCGGATCATCACGTAGCCTCTAAAGAACAAGGTAAGACCATTATAGGTTCGCCCCCAGCATGCAAAGAACTGAAAGTAAGATGGCACCTTACCATGTGATAGTTAATCATTTCCTGCAGGCTGTCTCCAAATTTGTCAAGGCACTCCTGTGAAAGAAGCAGCAAGCAGGCGGTTAATGGAGCAGCTGCCCTTCTTCCCCTCCTCTTTCCAGTTTGGTGCTGAGCACAGCACCCCCCTGGTTATTTCTTTTGCACGACAGTTCTACATGTTTCCTAAATAACTAATGCTCGCCGACCCAGATTCGAAGGACCCTGTCTGCATTCTGGCTTCTTAAAAGCACAGTTCCCCTTGCAAACCTTTTAGTGGTGAAAAATCAGGGGATTTTTTTTCCAGACACTGAATCTGCCCTGTGTGGGACTAAAATGACGCATAGGTTTTAAGCAAATCTGAGCAGGCATAAACTTCACCCCCAAGGATTTGACATTCAGAATATCTAGGCCATACATAGCATCTGAAGAGCCAGCAGTGAAATGGTTCTCATGGATTTATGGGAGATTTTGATATGATTTATGACCCCAAATGGGGCTGAGAGTTGGTCTGACTTCCCTACTTTTGATGGGGTTATCATATTGCTGCAATGATCTCCAAGCACTTTGCAAATATTAATTTAACCTCACAGCCATTTCCTTTTCAGTGGCCCCTCCAGGAAGTGAACCCATTTCACAGAAAGATAAGCTGAGTCACGGGGAGCCCCCTCCCACTGTCTTCCCTTTTCAGGACTTTGGAATGAGACTGGCAATGGTAAGCAGGGCAAAAAATAATCAAAGTCCTGCTTCTCAATTCTGCCACTCCATTCCCTAGAAACATATGCACGTACAGGCTTAAAGGTACCAACCTAATAGATAACAGCCTAAGGTACCATTTCACACTGTAAAGCATCCCTCTAGCAATGGGGGCTGCTAGCCTCTCTTGGAAAACATTTGCATTCGCTCAGATTAAAGCCAATTTCCAGAAATACCCCTCCTGTCTTTAATGCCATTCTCCCGTGCGTTGTCCATCTCTCAACAAGTTTGCTGCCCACTACCCCAAAGAGACTCACTGAAATCATTTCGTCCTTCTTGCATTGTTGAGACAGGTCTCGGACCCCACTGACAAAGTGTTTGTTGGTGGTGATGTAGGCTTTCCCAGCCTCAATCATTCCACTGCATAGCTTCACCAGCTGCAGAGAGAAGGGGAGGGAGAGATGTGAGCGGGGACAGTTGTACAGAGTTGGCCAAAGCATTTGTAAGCAAAGTGGATTTCCAAGTAAGATTGCAGAGTCAGGCTTGCTGCTTGTGGTGAGAGCATGGTTTGAACCCAGGATTTCTTCTGTAGCTAAAAGCAAAAGCAAAAACAGCTTGAGGCAGATTAGCAGATCTACTGACTGGCAGCAGTAGATATGGGTTGCTCCAAGCGCGTGACTCACCCACTGGAGAGAAATAAAAACCCCAAGACAAATCGACACCAGAAAACCTCCCCTGAAGCATCTTGCAAACTTTAGCCTGGACTATTCTTAGCCTGAAAATTCAAACTGAAGTCCCATTCTTTGCTGTCTTTGAGAAAGGCACAGACGTTCGAACAGGGACCAGAACATAATACTCACATGACTTCAGTGAGTAAGCCTGTAGCATGTGCAGGGGAGGATGTCTGGGCCCAGATTCAAGGCTCAGCCCGGCAGTGCTACCAACTTAGCGGTCTCGTTGCTCAGTGCAGTGCTATTTGGGGGTTCCTACTGACTAAACGCCTACATTAAGGACCCCATGTCCATTTTCTACCCAAAATACTTGGCTATTGTCTGCTGACATTTCTGAGATAGCAACACGCAGCACTTTTTTGAGGTTTGCCTGGCCAATTCCTGCCCTTTGGCACCACAGGCGGGTGCGTGCTGCTTCTTTGAATGACTCCCTTGCCACTGCAGACAGCACAGGTCCTTGGGGGTGCACAAGGACAGTGAGACAACACCAATTTACCCCCAGTCAGGATCTGGTCCTCACGAGTGCAAAGCAAAGCTTGGAACCATGCCCCACACGTGCCGTGGCCAAGATGTTTGGTTGAGGAGGGCTGCAGAGCTGAGGGGTGCCGTGCTCTGAGAACAGGGGGCATTGCAGGGTCTGTGAAGCTGTCGCACAGCAGCTGCTCAGGAAAGGAAGGGGAGGCTCCTTATTGCATTGTCAGGCATGGAAGGAGCCCCCCACCAGTAACAGGGAAGTCTAACCAGGCCGTCTCAGAGCCGTGCCATCAGGGCACAGCAAGGCCTGCTTAGGGCAAGTCTGAGGGCTTGGTGCCTGCTTGGGATGGCTGTGTGCAGAGAAGAGCTTGGCTGGGGATATCTGAGGACAGCTCAGGACAGGACAGAGCTTGCAGGAAGCTGGGTAAGCTGCTGTGTGCTGGGTGCTCCTGGCTGGTACTTGTAGCAGAGGGCAGGTAGGGTAGCTGCCTGAAGATGTAATACAGAAACCTTGCATCTGAAATGCAGGCCTTAGCAGGTATCCAGGTTGCAGCCATATTGGTCTAGAGGCAAAAGGAATCAGAACTCATGGCAGATGGGATATCTTTTATTAAACCAACTACATTTTTGCAAAATAATTTTTTTTTGCAAAAATTTAGTTGGACTTAGCAGGGGAACTGCAATTCCTGGCAGCAGGGAGAATCTGCCCGACGCCCAGGGAAAAGCCTGAACTGTTGCACAGCCCCTAAGGATTTGGGACTTTCCTTGCTTTGGAAGGAGTGGGTTTTTTGATCTGGCCAAACAGCCTGCCCAGCAAAGCTCTCTTGGGATGCAATTACGTGCCTGATGGTGAAGAAGCAAAATGCACCCTGGCACTGGACCGGAAGGTGAGTAGCTGCAGCTGTGTGTTTGCAGGTAACTTGTACTCTGGAAGCACTTCGTTGATGCTAATCAGCCCCCAGGCCCATGTGTCAGAGCTGATCTGCATGCGATTTGCCCTGAGTGTTACCTGGCAGCTGGGGGCTTCATGCATAGCATACAAAGGAACAAGGGTGGAGGTGGTGAGATTCTACAGTCCTGTTGCACCAAAACCTCTGAGGTAGTGGATTGAAGCTGGTTTTAAACCTGCATAATGTGCCTATGACCAGGCACTGGGATTCCTGTCAATTTGGGAGGATGCTAGGTCTTGCTTTCCTGGTCACATGCATGTGCTACAGTGGCTGAAAGGACTCTTGGAAGCTGTGTCTGCACTGTGTATGACTTAACATTTGCTTGGTGGGCTTTAGATGCGCCTTGCTCCAGGGAGGCTGGGGCTCAGCAACTTTAAAAACAAGTATGTGACTTGTTACGCTGGGGAACCACGTGCCCCAAACCCACTTCTGTTCCTGCTTATATCCAGTGCATGCTGTAATAATTCAGCTGAAGCCCAGGGTGCTACCTGAGCAGTCCAACAGCAAGAACGAGGCCACTTCCTTGCTTCAGAAGCAAGCCTTGAACCACAATAGCCAGCTTCTGTAGGCTGTTTCTTGCTGGGAACCCCCCTCCTTGAGGTCCATTTGTCCTAATTCAGCTACAGGAAGCATGTCCAGCCCCCAAGAGCCACCCACATGCACTGCAGAGCCCCTGAGCACACCTAGACTAACTGCTTGCTGACTACAGCATTCATCTAAGCATGTTTTAGACCTTTTCACCCTAGGACTGCTTTTCTGCTTACGGCCAAAGCTCCTGACGGAAAGCAGGAAAGAGATCAAAAGAACTCATGGATTCTCTTTGTCATTTTAGAACCACAGCCCAAAGCAACTTTCCCACCATGCACAGTTTGGGCTGCTCAAAAAGGGTGGGGGGGAGAGTATTCATTTCTTAGTGTCATAGATGTTAGAGGCTGGAAGGGACTTTACAGATCATCAGGTCCAGCCCCCCGGCACTAGGGAAGGAAAGACACCTGGGATCAGATGACCTCAGCAAAGTGGTGTCTGTCAAGATACTTTTTGAAGATCAGCAGGGTGACAAAGTTGGGGTTATTCAGAATGTTTTACTGCAGTTCAGGGCTTTCTGGCAACATGAAAAATCAAGACTGTGGACAAGCATTTTGGAAATTAAGAAATTGTCACTTGTTTGTTGGGGGAGGGGTCTCAAATGTTTGTGTAATGGTTATAAAGTCATTTTTGTCTAATCCTAATGAGAAAGATGTATTTCTTTATTTATTGACTAATTCTCCCCTTAGCCCCCGGGGTGAGAGCAGATTTCCCCAGCTGTCTCCAACAGACAGCTTCTGAATCCAGTTCTTGTACTTCTCTCATTCTGTTGTTTTAGCAGAACAGGCTAGCAGGCTCGTAGTGCTCCATCCAACACCAAAGACAGAAAACAAACTGATCCAGCTTCTATTGCATCTGGAGCCCAGACGGACTCAAGGAGCTTTCGACAGATCCTTTGGAAAGGAAATCCAGCTTTCTCTGCAACGTGGCGGTTTCTAAAATACCTCCTTGTGTGCACACATGCACAGCCAAGGCTGTGTTGCTAGTAGCTGAGGGCCACTCAACCCAAGCA